ACACACAGTCTGTGTCCCATTTATCAGACAGGCCGGCAGGAGTGTCTGTTTTATTAAGGAATCCATATAGCAAATTGCGTATAACACCTGTCTCACAGCCTCTCTTCTTTATGTTTGACTTGATAGTTTACTGTGCTGTTCCTTTCACATAGAACGTACCAAACAACAGGAAAATAGCCCTGGTGGTTTTCTCTTGGTAGGAAATAGTGGGATAAGGTAGATGGCAACACAGCCACATGTAGTAAATCAGTGTGGGCCCATGTCCTGAGTATGTACATGTATTATGTTGAATCATTGGAAATGTGATCCCTTTTGATTGAGAAGAATGGCAACTTCATATGTGTAAGTAATAAATAATTTAAAAATTGGACACCAGGCAAGGAAGGGTGGACCTCTGAAGCCAAATAGTAGTTACACAGGGAGGCAAAATACAGCCTGTGGCAAGCTTTTATGTGACTCACAATGCTTTTACGTTAAAAAAAATTTAATTGCTAACCTTATCGTATTAGATTTCAAACAAAATTCTGAGTTTTCAGCTTCTCTGCAAAAATCAGAATCTTGCCGTGCTAGGTCGGCGAACTTCCATGGCGACATTAGTGGGGGTAGGTGGCAACTCTGTTCCTACAGAGTGCACGTGTGTGTCTGTGCACACGCTGGCCAGCTTCCGGCTCTCAGGTGATCTTGACTGGCCTCATGGGCTTTGAGGTTGGACACGTGATATAAATAGAACACCTATAGTAAGTTGGATGAGGAGAGAATTGGAAGAAGTCATCAGCTGGACCAAAGCCATTTGTTTTGTTAATTATCCATTCCCCAGCCAGCACATCCAAAAAGACAGCCTGACGTGGCTCTGGACACTGTGCACTGAGAAAGGACAGGTAAGCATAACGAAGGAGTCCATCCATGTGCTAAGAGCTGGGCAAACTTATTGTATGAAAATTTTTGGCTCGGTGCTCCTCATTTAAGTAGGATGTGATGACAGCTTCCTTCCACTGGCCACTATTCATGTTATAGGCTAATATAATATCTATTTCGTTTGTTTCTTAATTCCTGACATTTATGAGGAGAGGTATTGGACAGTTGGCCACGTCCTAACTTTAACATAAAGAAAAGTTCTTACGGACTAATATGTATATAAAGTATCAGCTGTTTATTGCTACGTTATTCATACTGGAGGGAAAACTGGAAATAAAGAGAAGGAATAATAGAGGAAGGGTTGAACAAATTATGGTACGTCAACATCGTGAAATATGTAGCATTAGAACAACAAATTGGCTGGACACCAGTTGACTTGGAGGGATTTCCCTGAAAAGTAATAACTTAAGATTTAATTAGTGCTTCCTATGTACTAGACACGGTTCCAAGGGCTTTCCGTGTATTAACCCATGTGATCCTCCCAGCTACCCTGTGAGCTCTGTACTATTATCTCCATCATACAAATGAAGAAATTGAGGCATGGAGGAGTTAAGTCAGTCATCGAAGAACAAGCATTTACTATGTGGCAGGGCTAGGTTATGAACTCTGCAATCCGGGTAGACAGAGACTTTTTAAAGTAATTTTTAGGTTAGATATCAGAGTACCTTATCAATAAGAAGTTTAGCTATAGAATCTTAATTCATAGCTATTCCAGAATTCTCTGGGTTCTTCTCTTATATTTTAGACTCTTAGACTCATTATGCTGACTCAGACCTTAGAAATCATTTAGTCTTCCAGTTTTTGAACTTAGCCCTCCTTTTCCCTTCTTTCAACCAACTGAATCTTCCTGTAAGCAGAATGATACTTAGTACTGACCTGGAGCTACTGGGCCTTCTCTTTTCTCAGTGGTGGTGATGGTGTGTGTGGGGGGGGCGCTAGTGCAAACTATAGATACAGTCTGCCTCCTTAATTGTGTGGGTGCAGAAATGCATTCCAGAGAGAGAGCCTAACATTTACTGAATTGATGTTTCCAGCGATGTTATTTAGCTTCATGGGTAGATTTTATTATGCCCATTAAGGAAACTGAGATTTAGAGAAAAATTAAGCCCAACATCATAGAAGAAATTGGTACTAGGGTTGAAAGGATAGGAAGGGTAGAATCCTTGCTGAACCTCCTTTTCAGGGGTCTTACTAACCTAAGATTTGGGAGCTACAGTGGCCCACCAGAAGCCCTTCCATTGAATGTTACCTTATCTTGCTGTGACTTAATTAGGCAGTTGTTGAGAATTTCTAATTTGTACGGCATTATTTACCACAGGTGATAGCAGGGCAGGGAGTAGAACTGACAGTGAAAGGTTTCTGTATTAGTCAGCTCCGGCTGCTTTAACAAAACACTAGGGGCTGGGCGCCTCAAACAATAGGCGCTGACTTCTCGTAGTTTCGGAGGCTGGAAGTCAATCCAGATCAAGGTGCTTTCTGGTGAGGGTGCTCTTCCCTTCCCTTCCTCATCCATAAAGCTAGGGATTGGACTTGATGGTCCCTAAGGCTCCCTGCCCCTCTATCGTTGTTCTTGATCTCCCTTGCAGTTGAGGGAAATCTTTGGGGTCAAAGCGGTGTCTCCTGACTTGTCCAGTGAGTGGTGATATGCATTCACGAAATGACAGGAACCCCAGGATTATTCTCTCTAGAGACGAGGAGCTGCTGGTGGTTCTTTAGTCAGTTATAGTTGTTAAGTAATAACAATTCTCTAGTTGTGAAGCTCTAATAAAAGACTTTCTCTCCTGCTGCCTCTTTCTGTCCAGAATTCTTATTTTTGTCTGCGTTCTTGCATGTGTCTGTGGAAGTCAGGAGACTTTTATAGTCAAGGATTTACCAGGCCATGGGAGGCAGCCCCCTCTTACAGGCACTTGTGTTATCCTTTTTGGGAGTGTGTGTTCTTGCCTTTCCTGTTTTTCAGTTCCCCTGCTTTGAAAATGTTCTGGGATGTGGATTAAGGATTTGGTGGGGGTGGGGGTAGATTTGGGTGGGAGACTACAACAGGTAGAGCCGAGAATGACTTCCCATCAGCAGCAACTTAAAGATGTGTGTTGATTTCTCTGCTGGATACCAGGCCCAGTGCTAACCAGTTACTTACCACTTTCTCTGCGGCTCAGTCAGTGATGGTCTCTTGTTCTGGAGACCTTGACTGGAAAGTACACTTTGCTATCAGCAGCCCTCTTTGTAGTATTTGGCTGTGATATCTAGAGCATTCTGGATTGAACCCAGCATGCTCTGATCTGTAGGGCCAAGACCGATATGGTGGGACTTGGAATAGTAGCTGATGGGGCAGGCAGTGAGATTAAGGACAGGGAGGCCCTTTTAACAACCTCTGACAATAGCACTCCCTCCTTGAACTAGAGAGTAAGGCTCACTTGAATCTTACCTGTAGGTAGTTTCTTTTTTGTTCAAGCATGTAGGACATTTTTTTCCGTCCTGTATGGCCAGGACAAGCGGGGAAGGGAAGTGTGGGCTCTGGCCTATGGGAAGCAGGGAAAAGCATGGAGCTTGGAGTCTGGCCGACCTGACACAGACCCCAGCCCAGGCGCTTAGCTGTGTGGGCAAGCTTTCCAAGTCCCAGTGTTCTCACATATAACATGAGGCTAGGAATAAAAAATGTGCAGGCTTGTAATGAGAATTGCATGAATAAAGTGCCTACGGTACAGGGGGTGGTTCGTATATATGGATTTTCTCCCTCCTTGGTGAACACCGGTTGGACTTCCTGGAATGGGAGTCTTGAAGTTGGAGACCTGGTTTTGGAGCATAGGGTGATCTGCTTGGGACACCAGATCCGGGGGCCAGAGTGGATGTTGAGACCACAGGACAGAAGAAAGGGCAGACTTTCAGCTCCAAAGACACCCACTTGGGCACCTACCTCCTTGGTATGGGAAAGGATTGATTTTCACTAGAAATGTCATGCCTGCCTATCACATCTGTAAGGAAAGCTAATACTGATCTCCCTTCTGTATTGCCCAAAGCTGCCCCTTCCTCCATTTGATGATACTGGATGACTCATTTGAGAAGTAGTCCTCGAAGAAAAGCTTTAAGGAGAAAGGTGCATGGCCACATCTGGGCCCCCTTTTGCACAATCCTGAGCACAGGCTGTTTCTCTGCTTGGCTGTCTTGCAGGGGTAGAAGATTTATGTGATCCTAAGGAGGTTTTTGGTATTCTTTGCAGAAGTGAGATGCCTTAACCTAGAGGTCTTTTTGCCCCCGTGGAATACAAACCGGATTAGGAGCTCTTTGTGCTCTGCCACAAATCATTACACGTCTACATTTTGCTCTTATAAAATATGGATAATGACATGACTCTGTCTCCTAGGAGTTTGAGTGCATTAGCTAATGATCATGAAACCTTAGAAATAGGAAATTCATGTGAATGCCGAGAGCTTTTGTAATTACACATTTGCATCCCTTGCTTGGCATCCTTGAAAGTCATCCTTTCAACATGAGAATCCTCGGGTTGATTCCTGTTCTTCTAATTGTAGAGCAAGCTTAGAAGGAATAAGCTCAAAGAGCACTCAGAGCAGATAAGTTGTCACGGCGTCTCGTGGAAACCCTGAAGTCGTTCAGGCTGGAGTGGTTTGGTTTGGGCTGAAATGGAAGAAGAGCTCGAGGTATTTTAAGGGCACTAAAGTTAGAGAATCCTGGGGGCCAGAGACAGTAATGGCCTCCAGGCAGTGTTGTGCTTGGAGGCTCGTGTCTCTTGTCCCTGTGACCTCAGACCCGTCACTTTATCAGCCTTTGTTTCGGGCAGCAGGAAACATGCTGGATTGCAATGGGCTTTTTTGATGTGGATTGTAGCTTCTGGAGTGCGGGCACTGTTTTTCTATCCCATCGAGCAGTCTGCTCTTTGCTTTTTCTCCCACAGATAATTATTTTCAGACTCAAGACTCTTTTAGAATATGTTAAAAGGCAATGGTTTGAATACCTTGAGTAGAAGACTTCAAAAAAAAAAAAAAGATAGGTATTTGTTTAGGAAGGGGGTCGTGACTGGTAACCAGACAGCATGCCACCGGATAGCTGATGCTGTTTTTCTTTTGTTTCAGGCAGCGGCGCTACGGCCGTAGTCCAGGCTGCTCTCTGCAAGCCCCGGCAAGAACGCGTAGCAATAAAGCGCATCAACTTGGAAAAATGCCAGACCAGTATGGATGAACTATTAGTAAGTAAAAAGTGAAGGATACCCGCCGGTTGCTTTTCTTCACTGATGGGTATGCAGAGCTGGGCCAGAGAAGCAGGGGAAAGAGAGAACAAAGGCAAGTTGGTGTTCCCTCCTATTTTGACACATGTATTTCTTGGAAAGCAGCCCACATCGCTGCTCGTCCCCTGATGAATTATACCGTCCCTTACAGTTGTGTCGTATACTATACGACTCACTTTGCTATCACAAGCAGGGTTTTGTTCAGTCCTCATAATTCCAGGGTAGGCCTGGTCTCAGCGCTGACACTCTCTTTTGGAAAACCAGGGAACAGACACAGTTAGATGAACTCGAAGGTCATGTGATGCTGAGTGCAGAGCTGGGTTGGAGAGCCTCTGGCCCTCCGTCCAGAGTCGTGACATAGATAGGAATTACTCCCCAAGCCCTTTTCGGTCATTTTGCCTTTCAGAAATTACCAAATGACCTACACATTTCAGTTATTCAAAATACTGCAGGGTAGCTTGCTTTTGGCTAAGAAGAGGAGTTTGTTTTTTGTCCACGGCAACTTGTTCTTCTTATTCTAAAGGAAGTCCGTACATTACATAAATAATTGGAGCTTTGACTGTGGATATGACTATGGTAGAATTGGTTGGTTGCAGGAACATTTGGTTTTGGCTTAAGTGACTCATTATTAAATGAACAGCTTGGCAAATGGTTATTAGTTGCCCGGCAAACTCTGAAGGGTTTGAGAGTTTAATCTCATAAATATAGTTGTCGTTCTGCCTGCCAATTCTCTTTTTTTTCCTTTTGGCCATTTATTTGAGGATAATAGGAAACTGCAGTGGAGGAGTTAACTGATTGGTTATCCCAACCCTAATCCCAGTACAAATATTAGTCCAATAGCTATCCACACAAGCTACAAAGTATAATGACATTTGGCTCCAAATGAAGAAGCCTTTTGTTGTTTTCTACATCGGGAATGGAATGTCATTAACAAGAGCTTTTTGTCTTTACTCAGAATATAGCTTTTATTTCAGGCTTAATTACAGCACACTATAGTATAAATTAAGTAGAAGGATAAAGCTGTACTTTTCCAGATATGTTTGGCCTCACATTTTAAATTAGGCTCCACAAGGCATAGATTTCGCTGGGATTGAAGCAACAGATTGCCCGCTAAAACTCAGATTAAAGCAAGGGCTTCCACAATTTAATGTTAATTCCAAAAAAAAAAAACAAAAAAAAAACCCAAACCCCACAAAATATGTATACATTTAAGGCTTTTACCTTCTTCAGAATTTCAGCTGTGCTTTGCTCTTACGGAAATGATGGCTGCATCCTTCTGTCACTTGCGATCACGGTGACCAATAAAATTGTGCCTTTGTCATCTGGCCAGTTTTGAAGGTCACTCTCCCCAAGTGGAAAAAGCACTAAACAAACTGTGGGGAGAGTCGGGTCCTACTTCCGCCACCAACTTGTTTTCTACCTTTGGTCAAGTCACCTAACAGCACAGCACTGTTTAGAAAGAGACTTGGATTGGGAAATCTCTCAGATCCCTTTAGGAGTCCTCAAATTCTGTGGCTATACTGAATCTACGCTATTTTTTTTTCTTTTAAATTTGAGTGTACATTTGTATGCCCCGTTTGGAAATAACCACTCCCGAATTTGCCCGTGATGATTGTATTTGATCTTGGCACTCTGTTGGAGATCCCATGGCCATCCTGTTGCCAGCAGCAGACTATTTATACAGGGTCTTTGTGAGGCCTGTGTACATTTGTGTCTGGCAATTCTGGAACCAGCCTTCTGGGCCGACACTGTGGTCCCTGGTCTCTAAGAGCCCCGAGTCGCCCCAAGCCTCCATGTTCTCCCTCTGCTGGCTGTTGGTCAGCAGTTGGTTGCTGGCCATGGGAGCTAATGAAGGTCCTGGTGGAGGCAGCAGGGGGGGACACTTTCCTCTGTTTCCCTGGGACCAGGGACCGTAACAGTGTCATTTGGAGATACTCATAATTTAGGCAGAGCTGCACATGTAAGGATCTGGGTGTTATGGCTTTGTGCTTGGCTCATTAATTTGAGGTTTTAGGATTTATGAGTTTGCTTATTAGCAGTTAGTTTATTTCTCTCATTCTCCATCCAACCCCCCGCCCCGCTGCTTAATGCCCACATTGTGTTAAGAGTATAGTATATATGTATAATTATCTATTTTTCCTTTAAAAGGTATATTGATTTTTTGCTTTGATCTTTCCTTAATCTTGAACCTTTGACCTTTTGATGTCTTGATATTTCTTTTTTTTTTTTAAAGATTTTATTTATTTATTTAATTGACAGAGAGAGAGAGAGAGACAGCATGAGGGGGAACACAAGCAGGGGGAGTGGGAGAGGGAGGAGCAGGCTTCTGGCTGAGCAGGGAGCCCGACGTGGGGCTCGATCCCAGGACCCTGGGATCATGACCAGAGCTGAAGGCAGTCGCTTAACCGACTGAGCCACCCAGGCGCCCGATGTCTTGATATTTCAAGAGATGGGAGGGGGGTGGTTCTTTAGGATGTTTGTCCTTTGCAAACAGAAAGAAATGGAATATACAGTATGGGCTGCCTAACGTTGCCAGGCTTTTGTGGCCCAGCTGTTGGCACATGAGATCGTGTGGAACAAGGTTGCTATAATCCTTTCAATTTCTAATACTGCTGTTGCTCGCACTTTTATTATCTCTGTGGGCTCACATTTTGGCAGCGTTTGGACATGCGGTATCCTAATAACCCTTTAATTCCGTGTGTGTGTGCGCGTGTGCCCGCATTATGTACAGGTCCGTGCTCTGCATCAGTTCACAAACCGTGCCATGTGTTAACTGGAAGCCTTTGTTCTTGTAAGAAACAGTGGCCACTGGAATCCTTACCTTGTGAGAGAGTTATGTCATAGAAGTCACCGTTATCAACTGTCTGCTGGCTGTTGGAATGTCTGCCTCCCCAGCTGAAGCTATCACCTCCTACTTCCGACTCCCTTCTGTGTCCCTACACTCTTGCTTCAACCCCCCTAGTAAGGTAGGATTTCCACTCACAGGTCCGATGTGATGGCCCGGAGCAGTTCTGGACAACTGTCCCTGGACTCTGCTTCTTCGTATGGCAGAGGCTGTCCGATTCTGTGGTCATACGGAGTTTACTCCAGGTCTGGCTGAAGAAGGATTCAAGTGGTCATGATTTCTGAAGCAAAGTGATAATTACAGTCCTGGCTTCTCTGAGAAGGAAGGGAGGAAAAGAAACATTAGATGAAATCCCTGGTGGTAAATAAGTGCTAATTTAAATAAAATTTATTTACTGTTGAAATGAGTACTGTAATATTCCTCAATGACATTTGGCTCCAGATCTGATATACATTTAGTAATTTATTTGGTAAATATTTAACGAGTTTCCTCATTGTGCTCAGGCCCATAAGAAGGGTGAGTTTTGGGTGTATGTATCAGAGGACAAAGCAATATGCTTGCTAAAAATTCATCTTAACAGCAATTAGATTAGAAAACCCTAGAACAAATGTTTTTCTTGGCCTTACAGGAGTAGCATTTAGTTAATTCTTTTTCTAGGCATGTTTTTACGTTTTCTTAGATGTATTGGAGTTTGGCCTTTAATTATAGTTAAAGTTATAGTTAACCTCTCTAGGTACGATGCTTTGGTGGTTAGTTTTCTAGGAGTCAGGGGCTGTTACTGGTCTGTTCTATATTCCTGACCATTCCAACCTAGATGCTTTGATAATTTCTGAGATTTGTTATGTTAATCCCACATTTTTTAATCCCACAGTGGTATAAATGACTATAATAGGCTTAACACTCTCCGGGACACATTTATAGTTTCAGAGCAGAGCTTGTTAACTGCATGATTATTAAACCCTACTAGATGCTAGACACTGAGCTAGACGATGGGGAAAACAAAGTTGATTGCTGTTTTTTGGGGAGCCTGGGGACTGGTAAATGAGTTTCTTCATTCTTATATTGGGTTGGTGAACTTTTTGAGCTACGGATTCTTTCTGCACCTTTTCCCTCTATTTATCTAGAAATGGTTTAACAGATTCTCTAACATGCATTCCATTGCATGCATATGGATGCATCCATCTTGCTTTTCAATAGGAACTTGAGGCTAGCTTAAATGGGTCTGGTCTGACCCACTGTCATGCAAGCTGGTATATTCTATGTGAAAATGGCCTTGAGGTTTCTTGAAAGAGCTTAATTCTCTGGTTTGTGGTTAACTTCAAAGGTTAGAGATGCTGCTCGAGGGCCCACTCACTTCCCTTAAAATTCCATTTCACCCGTGAATAACTAATCTGCTTTTTTGAAGTCATCTTTCAGTCTCTATCACCAGGTGACAGTGATTTCCACAAATGTGACATGGTCATCCTTCCCTTTATTTATCCTAAAACCCACTTTTTCCAACCTTCAGGGGACTCTCCTTAAAATTTTTACCCAGCGATTGATGGACATTTTGGTTCATCACCTTACTTGACTTGATGGTTTTTAGACTTTAACCATATCCTTCTTAATATTTTTTCTCTAGACTTGAGTTCTCATATTTTTAGTCTGTCTTTGGTCCCTAGTCACAGAAAACTCAGTAACATTTTCTCATTGCTTCATAAACACCAGTGCCATCAAAACTTAACAGTTTAATTCCTAGGGGCAGGAGTGCTATGTATGTAGGAGAAATCATGGCCCTGGGGCCAGGCAAAGTGCTTGTTTCTTCAAGGAAAAAAAAAAAAAAAGTCTAGTTAAGGGATTCCATTATAAAACAATATTTAATGATCATTATAATATTTTAGCACATGATGGGTGACAAACGTCAGCAAAGTCGTTTCAAAAAACAATGGCCACCCATGGTTGCCCAAACTTGTGATGGAGGGAAAATGGCTTCCTGGGTCAGAGGACCTGTGTTCTTCATGCGGATCATGGACTTGAGAGGGATCGGTTTCACCTCTGGCCCTCCGTCTCCACATTTGTTCAATAAGGAATTCTACTGATGGCAAAACTTCATCACCAAAGTTCTATTTAAAAATTA